GATACTAATTTAGTAATCGATTGTATATATGGTTTCCATGAAATGTCGTTAGTAAATGATAATCCCAGAAGACATAAAGAGGAGGATTCAGTAAGAGGGTTGCCATTCATCAATATAGGAATGTCAACAGTATTGAGATAGATAGTTTTGTTGGAGCCACTGTGAGCCTCAATCTTTTACAGAAGTGAGATCAGATTCAAGATCGGCTGCCTGTTCTAAGCGATCAAAAAGAGAAGACTTTTTGTCAAGAGAGGAGTATAAAGTTGAGTCATCAGCAAAAAGAGCTGCCTTAGATGTTAGGTTATCAGGAAAATCATAAATGTGGATAAGAAACAAAATAGGACCAAGTATAGAACCTTGAGGTGTCCCAGAAGAGACTGGAAATATAGAAGAGTGTTGGCCTTCGAGGATGACTAAAATATAGCGGTTAGAAAGAAACAGTTGATAATCTCAAAAACTTTTCCAGATACACTAGGGTGTCCCATTTCTGCAAATATTTTGAATTACCACACCAACTTTTAAATTGAGGTTTAGACTAAAAAAAAAAATATTTATATATATTTACCAATTGTTTTTAAATAATATAAAAATTTAAGGGTCCCCCCACTTAGAAAAAATTGAGCAAATCCTTTTTAAGCATTTTTTGTGAATATTTTTGTTCAAAATGTTAACAAAATGCAACAACTTCAACTTTTCACACAGTATAATTGACTATCTTATTTACACTGTGTAAAAAATTTGAGTTAAAAAAGTTAATTAAAGGGTTCCCCCGAATTAAATAATCAAATGGTTTTGTAGTTTGGCATCGTCAGAAAGTAGTTATTAACCGTAAAGGCTTAAATTTAATACATTATAAAAATGTATTCATAAAATATTATATATAATAAAAATGCATGTGTTGAAGTAAAAAAGTTTGATTGTCTTATTTTAACCAATTAATTATTCTAAAACAATGGTTGCGTCTAAATTGGGCGCTTAGTATAAGGAAAATTTATTTTCCTGTTGTTTCTTTAGCAGCGTGGTCAATACATAGTTTTGTAAGTTTAAGTTGTTTGTTTTAAGTTTTTTGTTTAAAATAAAATTTTTAACATTTTAATATTAACATTATTATTATTTAGTTTTAATATTAGTATTATTAAATATAAAATTTCGACATAATCAATAATATGCTTTGTTTAAATAGTGGTTTTAATAAATTAGTGTTTTAAATGTTTTATTTACTTTAAGCTTTTCGTGTTTACAGTAAGTTTATAATACGAATTAAGTTTAGGAAATATTTTCTAAAATAGAGTTCCAAAGAGATTAGACTTAAAGTTTTATATAATTAAGACACAAGCAATTAAGATTTTTGTAACTGCTAGGCTTAAAAAAGTGCCTTTTTTATTTTCAGTAAAGTAGTTCGCGCCAGATTTTGTTAAGCGGCATCTCATTTAATAACTCAGTTACGTGCTATTGATGCTGCTTGTACTGAGTTCTATCTGTTGTAACAACAAAAATGGATCTACGTTCTCGTAAACTACCGAAATCTAGTATAAAAGAGAAAAATTGTTCAGTGGAAAAAGCAAGATCTGCACGAAATCATCATCAAGATTACTTTATTAGATTTGGACTAGAGAAAAATTAAAGTGTCGGTGTAAAACTTCTCCTTAAAATTGCTTTGCTCAGAAGATACTTCTACTTTAGAGAAATCAACAAAGGAATTGGTGAAATAACAGTGTCAGAAAAAAATATTTTTAAAGATATTTTGATTGAATTACAAGAAATTTGGAAAAGAGCTCACCTACCAGTTAAGCCAGATAATAAGTGTGTCGAGTATTTCATTGCAGTTTTTAATGAATGGCAAAGTGTGTTGAAGAAGGGAAAGAAGTGCCCCGAGAAAAAAAAGAACCCAGTTTTTGCAACCAATGAATTAATTCTGTGACATATCAGTTACTGACACATGTTACATATTATGTGTACCTTGACTTGCAACCTGGTAGGAGGATTGTGAGTCTTTACTGAACCAATGGAAGTATCCACAGGTAATTTCATACGTTATTTCAACCATGTTGCTGTACTGTGTTTACTTAAGGTATTTGTTTTCATTTTACGTTATTGTATTGTTTACTTCCAATTAGGTTGGTTCAATGATTGGTTGGGATGCAACTCATGCACATCAAGGGAAGAACAAGTCAGATCGCAATGAAAACAGAGTCAATGCTCACAGCACAGCTAAATGAAGAAAGCTCTAAGTGATCAAAAAGTAGAAGAAATCATCAAGAAGAGTGAGGATGAGTCAATCAGTTCAGAAGTCGAAGTTTTCACTCCTTTCCAGCGAAAAATGAAAAACCAGTGTCAAACGTTTCTTTTCAAATCGATCCTACAATGTTAACAAAATCATTCACTGATGTCTCTGACTGATTAGGCCTCAGCGAGATCAAATGGCTGTTGAAGCAAAAGTTGTTAAAGTTTGCGGTGGTTCGTTACATTATTTTCCAATCTCACGATCATCAGTTCACCGTAACCGTAGAGTAGAACAAGAAAAACAAGGTGCTCAAATAAAGGAGAAATATCAGGAGAAGAATAGAAAAATACTAAAAACAAACATTTTTTGTTTGTAGGAAAGAAAGAGGAGCAAGTTGCTATTCTGGCTAGTGGTTAGGATGGATCATCAAACGATGCAAACAAAAAAGTTCTAGAAATCCCTGTAACTATCAACTGTACTGGTCATGCCCAAAAAGATGCCTTCATTAAGTGTTTTTCTTCCTGGAAACTGTTAGATAATTTAATTGCCCTAGTTTTCGACACCACTTCTAGTCACACTGGATGGAAAGCTGGATGTGCAGCACTCATTGAGAAAGAAGTAGGTCATGCGCTGTTATGGACAGCTTGTCACCATTATGTTTATGAACTGCATATTAGTTGCGTCTGGGATGCAGTTAATGGAAGTCATAACAGACCTATCGAGCCAATTTTGAAAATGCTTCTAGACATTTGGGATTCTATTTCTCCCTAGTCTACATATATAACCAAATTTAAGTGGCCAGATGAGAACCATCCTATTCTTCGCCAGACAACACTCTTTCTGAACTGGGCTAGTAGGTGCCTTGAGGAGAATATCTTTCCAAGGGCCGATTATCAAGAATTGATTGAACTGACAATTCATTATCTTGGAGGTGACTTGCTAAAAAGTAAGTTGTTTAACTTCAAAAAACTGGGTGCGCATTATTGTGCAAGATTTATGCACAATAAGCTGTACATTTTGAAACTTGTCATGTTGGATCAATAGATTGCATCGCTCGACCCAGATCAACAGCATAAATTGAAAAGAATGGCTAATTTTATTACTCTCTTTTATGCAAAGGGTTTCTTACAAAGTCACATCTCAGTTATTGCATCGAAAGTTGATTGTCAGTACATTGCCGATATGCAGTGGTACCATAATATAGAAAAAGTTGCTTCTGATGCAGCCATTCAGTCTTGCAACAGACACCGCGCACCTTCAACTACTACTTTTATTTTCTGCAATTGTTTCATTCATCATTCTTCGTTTTTTTTCTTCTTTTTCTAAAAAAGCCGTATGGATTAAGGTAAGCAAAAAAAGTGAGCAAATGCTTATAAAATTACGCTTTAGTAAGTGTATATATATACATTTATATATGTATATATATATATATATATATATATATATATATATATATATATATGTATACATATATATATATATATATGTATACATATATATATATATATATATATATATATATATGTATACATATATATATATATATATATATATATATATATATATATATATATATATATATATATATATATATATATATATATATATATATATGTATACATATATATATATATATATATATATATATATATATATATATATATATATATATATATATATATATATATATATATATATATATATATATATATATATATATATATATATGTATACATATATATATATATATATATATATATATATATATATATATATATATATATATATATATATATATATATATATATATATATATAAATGTATACATATATATATGTATATATATATATATATATATATATATATATATATATATATATATATGTATACATATATATATATATGTATATATATATATATGTATATATATATATATATATATATATATATATATATATATATATATATATATATATATATATATATATATATATATATATATATATAAATTTAATTGCAACCTGTTTTTCTTGTTCAGTATTATCTGCAAGTCAATCAGCTTAAGTCTGGATTTAAACTCTTTGACTGATGTAGACTCCACTACTGATTCCGGTAAATTATTCCATCCAAAGACAACCCTATTTGTAAAATACTGTCTACTTGTAAAGAATACTGTCTACTTAAACAATTTTTAACAAACTTTGATTTAACACGATGTTTATAACCTCTAATACTGGATGCTGGACCTGGTGTATTGATTGAGTATGACCACACGCGATTATAATATTTTAGAAAACGTGAACACGGCTGTTTGCAAGTTTTATAATAATGCTCAAAAAGTTTGAAAAACAAGAAAACAAAACTAACAAAATAAAAAGAGATAAAAAATATATATATTTGTATATATATATATATATATATATATATATATATATATATATGTATATATACAAATATACATATATATAGTATAACATATAGTAAAACATATATTACAGATAAACAATAATATATAACTAATATAAATATGAAATTTCAACGCAGAGTGTCTGCACATGTTTTTTTAAATTTATTTAACATCCATTGTATTAATATTATTATATTATGTTGAAAATACAAGGTAAAATGTGTTAAATAGAAAAATTTACCAGGCGATATTTTTTTAAAATTTATTTCTTATATATATATATATATATATATATATAAGATATATATAAGTATAGAAGTTTATCTATATATAAAGTGTTTGAAGGTCATTTTTGAATTAATTTTTTAGATTCAATTTGTTATGAAATAAGTATCAAGGTTCTAACTCCGTGGATTGAAGTTTACAGTAAACATGATTCTGATGAGTTTCTTAACTTAAAACATTCTATTGAAACATCGGTAATTCTTTTTTTTTCCTCCAGACTATTTATGAAAATGTGTTTTTGAAAAGTTTGTATTGTATTGTATAAAGTAAAATGGAGTCAAATACAGTAGATAAAAGTTTTAATTTTTTAAATTAAGAAAATTGTTTTTTAAACTTATGGTTTTATTTAAGTATATGCAAATCAAATAATTTTTTTTTTAGTTTTTTAAGAAACTTTGTTTTATTGAAGATAAAACTATTTTGTTCTTTCCTTACATTTGTAAAGAACAAAATATGCAAGTCAATGGATATTTTAGAAAGAAATTTTTCATTCTTGTGATGTTGTTGAGAGGTTCTGGAGATTACTTCAATTGTTAATTTAGTGTTGTGTTTTTGGTGCAATAAAACTCAATTCTTTTCACATATTGAATTTTTGACTTTTTTTGAAGCTTTATTTAAAACCTTAATGCACTTTTTACCATTGACTTTATTTGTTGTTGTTGTTGTTGCTGTTGTTGTTGGTGTTGTTGTTGTTGCTGCTCACAATTAAAGTTAAATTTCTAATGTTTTCTAGCTTGCTTTATTGCTTTTTTGCATATTTCAATGTATCGAGTATTTTAAGTATAAGACACCTTTGAGTTTTGACATGTCTCCATTTGCTCGTTTTTTATGTCATCATGTTAGATGCAAAACAATTGTTGCAAGGCTGCAGCAAGTGGTTGTGCCCATTTTCATTTTTTATAAACTTCTTTTTGAATAGCTGGAGTTACTAAAATATTGAAGGTCGGTTGAACACAAGTTGACTTTAAAGTTAATTTTAAAGCTGACTTTAGCTGATGCTGTACAACCTATGCTGATGTTAGATGTTGGTGTAGATTCAGAAGGCAGTAGCTGAGATAACAGATTGCATGCCTGTAACGAGTTGCTACTGGTATGCTAAATAATTGAGCAGCTTTGTTGAAAAAATTATCATCTTGTTCAGAAAATAAAAATGTTCAGAAAAAAACAACATGATTGAGAACTGCAAAAGGTTTATCAATAATTAATTAAGAGCAAAAAAAAAAATAATAATAATAATAATAAGCTCCTTTTTTTATTGAAGTTTTTGCATGACTGAATGATTTTTCTAAGCAAAGGCAGTAATTTTTTTGTTTTGTTATATTTAAAAATTATTGCAAATTTTTATTTACATCTTTTCTTCACAACAATTTCTTTGATTTAAAGCAAAATATAAAAACTTGGTAATTAAAAAAAAAGTGTTGTGAAAATTATTTATGAATCTATATTTTTATTAAACTACATTAAAACCAAATAAAATGGTGAAAGTATCAAAAACTATAAAACACAAAAAACCATCGTCATCGCCATGTTCTCTAAATTTATTATTCACTCACATTTGTGGTCTTCGAAGTAACTTTTCTTCTGTTGAGTCTTACCTCTTGCAAAGTTCACCAGTCCTACTTGCTCTTTGTGAGACTAATTTGAGTTCAGCTGTCTCATCTTGTCATCAAAATTTCTAAAGGTCAAATAATTTTTGAAACATGTTGTGCAACTCCAAAAAATTCTGAAATATGTCAAGACAATATCCAAATTTGTTCAAGCTCTGAAATTTGTCCAAATAATTTGTAAATACATTTAGCAGTTTCTGGAAAATGTCCAGGCTAATCCTTAAAGTGACCATAAAAATACAACGTAATTAAACAGTTTTTTAAAGATCTATCTTTTTAGGTAACATGTCTTTCATAATTTATTTTTAACTTTAATTTTTTTAGATTGCAAATCTTTATGCCAATTATGAAGCATTCAAATATGCAACACTGGTTTCATTCAGGTTCTAAATATATATTTTTGTTGTTTTCCTTATACTAGGTTTCTCATGTAAATATAATAACAGTAAGAATTTCTACTTCTGTTTTCTAAATAAATTTAGCGTTGCCTAATTTATGGACAATCCCTTTTATAAAAATTATTCTTATGAGAAAAACAAATTTTATATTTAAATAAATTTAACTTTTTTTGTCGTTGTTGTTATTGAATAGAGAAGGAAGTGTTATTGCTAATATTCAATTAACCTTTGCATCATTTGCAAAATATCCTTTAAAGATTGTGCAAGAGGCTGTTTGTTTCGGAAGGTTCTATGATTTAAATGTTGATAAAAGATTTTTTCTAGAGCATCAAGGTACTAGTTATATAAAGAAACTTGTAATGTTTATCAAATAATTAATATTATCTTAAAAAGTTTATTTCTTTGTCATTGTTGATATTATCAAATTTTTATTATTTCATTAAATCTAAGTTTTTTTAATATAATATCAATTGTTTTAATCATTTGCAGTAAACAGTTCTTCAGAATTTCTTTTCAATTCAAAATTGTCTTCTGTTGATGGAGATAACATGGGATATAAAAGCTCCTCCAGCCAAAGTTCATTACATGATCATTTAGAATCTGGTTATGGAAGTCAAACATTTGAAACTTCAACCTTACCAAAGAAGCACAATCTTGTTCAGAGTTACTCTGCTGATTCATTAAAGTCAAACACTTCAATGAAGAATTCTATAACATTGAATACAAATGTTACTAAGACTGATAAAAGTCTTAAAGATACTCTGAAATCATTAAACAGTCTTGTTAAAAAACATAACAATAAAAAAATAGGTACATAGACTGATTTTTTTTTTGTTTGTTTTTTCAGTTTTACTTTTGATTCATTTTTTGGTATAATTTTTTAAAATATTAAATTAAAAGTATATATATATATATATATATATATATATATATATATATATATATATATATAATATATATATATATATATATATATATATATATATATATATATATATATATATATATATATATGGTCAAATTATAGATAATAAAACTCATAAAAATTTACACTGGAGTTTGAAATTTTAAGGTATTCCCCATGTTGGTTTGTTTAACTTTTTGCCACAAGATGATAAAGATTTAGCTTTTAAACAAGGTGAAGTTATTTATGTTGATTATGTTGACAATGGAGGCTGGGCAAAAGCTACTAATCAAAATGGACGAAAAGGTTGGATTCCACAAAACTTTGTTGTTCCAATTGATTTAGAACAATACGAGCACACGAAAAAAGCGGTTGAGGTAAAGAAACTGTTGTTTTGGTAATTTTTATATTTGAAATTTTATGTTTGTTTTGGTTTTTCGTTATTGTTTTTAGCAGTAGCTATTTAAAATCTTTGAAATTTTTGATCATATTGTTCATTAAAAAAATTTAGTTTTTAAATAAGGCAGAAAAATGAATATATATTATTATATAATTTAAATTTAAAGAAAATTAATAAACTTCAGCAATGTCAGTCTAACTGCCTACATCAAAGTGTTTGAGGTCAGCAAAAAATTGCCAACCTCATTTTTCCTAATTCCGAGGGTTGAAATATATATACATATATATATATATATATATATATATATAATATATATATATATATATATATATATATATATATATATATATATATATATATATATATATATATATATATGTATATATATGTATATAATATTATGCTGACAGTTTAAAGACATCTGATGTGTCCATTATTTGTTTTTTTTCCATCAATGTGATCTTTGAAGACATTTACTGAGACTGGGTAGGCTGCATTTGACGGAGGTGCATTCCATGCATTTACCATGCGGTTAGTGAAGAAATGCTCCCTCTTTTTGCAGTTTTTGACTACTTACTTAGTTAATCATTGCTTGTGTCCTCGTAGGTATTAATTCAATATTGATGGTGTATACACCTGTGGTATGGCACAGGTGTATGCGCCAATTTTTTCCATACAATGAACAATTTTTAATTGCTGAATCAAATCACCTTGATTTCTTCTCTCTTCAAGAGTTGTGAGTCAAAGAATACGGAACCTCTCCTCATGATTTATGCTTGATTTCTGTGATTATTTTTGTTGCTCTTAATTGAATACACTCTAGCGTATATATATTTCATTGTAGATATGGAGACCAGGCTTGAATAGTAAAATCAAGCTATGGTCTGACATAAATGGTTTATAAGATTTTTTACAAGGAAAGGCCTCTTCTTTTAAATGCTTTTTTGAGAGAACCCAACATGCAATACTACTTCTGCTTGTACTTGATATTTTATTTTCAAATCACAAAAAACAAATATTTCCAGATAACGTTTTTGGCGCTTTCAATTGTTTTTCTGTTTCCTAATTGGTCAAGCATTGTGTAGTTTTGAGTCGATTAGGCGTCCTACATGCATCACTTTGCATTTTTCTATGTTTAACACCATAAGCCCTTTTTTAGACCCACATAGTACTTTGTCTATGTCATTTTGTAACGTTACAGCGCCTGCCTTGCTCTTTATTACACATAAAATCTTGCTGTCATATGCATATATCTTGATTTGATGTGCTATATTGTCTGATAGATCGTTTATATAAAGTATAAATAATAGAGATCCAAGCACTGAACCTTGTGGAACACCACTTGTGACTTTCCTTCAATCTGATTCATGATTACCGATTGTTACCCTTTGTTGTCGGTTTGCTAGCCAGTTAGCTATCCATATGAATAGAGTACTACATAAGCTGTATGCTTTAACCTTATGTACCTTATGAGCCATTTGTGGGATTCTTTTGTCAATTTTTTGCAAAGTTAGTATCGATGACGTTTATGGTATAAACTAGGGAAATTCCAATTGTTAATATGTCTCTTGCTTCTAATAGATTAGTTGCACAACCTCATAAAAAAAAATCATGCTGATATTTGGTGATTAGGTTATTTTTGATGCAATAATTCATTATGACATCGTGAGCAAAACTCTCCATCACTTGCAAGGAACAGATGTGAAATTTTTTTCGTTTGCTCCCTTTTTTAAAAATTGGTGTGACATTTAACTTTTTTCACAATTCAGGTGTTTGAATTCAGGTTTATTATGGGGGCAATCTCTTTTCCATTAGTTGTAATTTTACCTTCATTATCTTCTAGAAATCTTATTGACATTTGCTTATGTCTTACATGTTCATGTAAGAGTTTAGGGTCTGATATAAATTGTTTGGCAATTTCATTTTGGTTACTTTTTAGATGCTTTTTGGTCTTAATATGTGTAAAATATATTAGGACAGTACAAATTAAAATCCACAAAAGTAACTGCATGTGTGTTTATATGTTAAAGGTAATCATTTCAAGAAAGTTTCATAATCTATTACACCATACACTCTAAATTCTAATCTGTTATTAAACAATGTTATTAAACAAATTAAAAAATCTGTTATTAAACAAATCTGTTATTAAACAAATTAAAAAATTAAACAATGTTATCTGTTATTAAACAATTAAATCAAAATATTTGAACCCAATTATAACTCCTAATCATTACCTATAGTATTTTTATAATATATATATAATATATATATATATATATATATATATATATATATATATATATATATATATATATATATATATATATATATATATATATACATAATATAAGTATTTTTTTTAAAAGAAAATCTCAAAAACCATCAAAAACAGTCATCTCACAGGTTCATCAACATTTCAAAGGATCGGGGGAAAGTTAAATAAAAATTATTTAAATTTTTTAGGGGTTCCTAATATGATTCTTTTATTCTTGTGAGTGGTTTAAAAAAAGTTGCTACTAAAATTCCCATTAGTAATTTATTTTTTAGAACTACAGTTAACGATATTATTCCAAATGTTTAGCAAAAAGTTGCAGTTACAATTCCAATTTATTCAGGAACTGATCTGGCAGGTTTCAAATGTTAGCTAGAAAAATGAAACATATCATTCACAATATATGCACGCTAGCAATAGGTGATATTCAACATGTAATGAATGAATTCCTATATTTATTCATTAGACTGGCTGCTTATATATATATTGAGGATGCCATTGGACCTTATCAGAGTACTTCTTTTACCATTAACCTTTGGTTGAGACCAGTGGGATATTATAATTGACCTTCTTAAGGAATACAACTTTGAATCATATCAGTAAGCAACTTTGAATCAGAGAAATATGTTTTGATACTACTGCAATCAACACTGATTTAAAGAAAAGTTCTTTAATCAGAATATCAAATTAGATGAACATATATCTTTTACTTATTACATGCAGGCTTTATATATGTGAATTAAGAATGGTTCATTTTTGTAAATCAGTTTCAATATTATTTCACAAGACCAAATAATATTGTGTTTAAAAAAATGAAAACCATTTTTGATTTTAATTACAATCAAACAAGACTGATAAAGTTTGATTTGGAAACATAATGTTGCACTAAATAACATTTGTTAAGACTACATTACTAAGAAAAAAGAAAAAAAAAATTTTGGTCAGAGAAGCTTACAGGAAGCTTGCAGACTTTACTGTAGGTTACTTTTCTTCAACATTAGTAAAAGTAAGAAAAACTGAAGTAATTTAACAAGCTAGGTCTTAATGCAAGAGACTGTAGTACCTAAAGCTTCAACTTCAGGTATCAATCGAGTTTTTAAACTAACCAATTTGAGTTTTAAAATCAACCAATTTGAGTTTTTAAATCAGAACAACAAACTCAACACAAAAATAATAATACAATTTTCTTTTATGGTAAATGATATTTACATGTTTTTAAATTTCCCTTTCTTGGCATAAAAGCAATCAACTATATGCACCATTACCCAAAATGCACTATAACACAAAAATTTGTGCTATTTTTTATTTTTTAATTTGTACTATTTGTTGATGCAATTTGGAATTATAGAATTATATAAACTATGTAAACAGTCAGTATTTTGATTTCCTCTTGCTCTATTGGATGTGGGTCATGTGTGTGTGTGTGTGTGTGTGTGTGTGTGTGTGTGTCTGTGTCATTTGATGAAAAACAAACATTGCAAGAGAAATTCTAATTTATACAATGCCAATTTCTATTTGGTAAGCAAACCAAATAGAGGTATAAAAGTAAGTAAGCAAATATGTAAGAAAACCAAATATTGGTATAAAAGTAAATAAATATTGGTATAGAAAATAAAATAAAAATATAGATAGAAACTAATTAAGAACTTTTCTTCTTTTTGTTGATTGATAAATTTTCATATTGTACATTTGTTAAAATTGAATCTTTGAGCAAAGGATAAATCATATTTAGTAAATGATCATTCAAAAGTGCTGTTGGAATGATGCAGCAATTGTCAGTGCAATAATGAAAATGAAAAAGAAAATTTTGTTCCAACAAACTTTCTAAAGATAAATTTGTTGAAAGTTTTTTTTTTCTTAACAAAAATTCTATTTTTTCTTGAAAAAAGCTTGCTTTTTCTTGAAAAAAGCAATGATAGCAAATATATCATTTAAAAATAAACATTACAGAAAATGAAACTTTTCTCATGGACCTGTGTGGTTCTTTGTTTGTTTTTTTGATGGTTTTTTAGAATCTAGAGGGTATGGTATTTTTATATTTGGATATAAATACTTAATTATAAGTTATTGATGGAGTAATATAGATATTTATATTGATTGAGTAGTTTCAAAGATTTATCTTTTATTTTCTAAATATATTTTGGTGATTTCTTTTTTTAGTCAATTTTGTACTTGGATAGTGTGATAGATTCTATTACCTCTCCTGATGATGAAGATTCATCTAATCAATTAACAGGAGAAGCTGATAAATATTCAGAAGATTTCACAAAATCTGATGACTCTAATGAAAATTTAGATCCTCCAAGATCAAGCCATTTTATTACAATTTTCCCATTTGAACCTTGTGAGCAGAATGAACTCAAGTTAGAAGTTGGAGATTTAGTTGATGTGTTAAAAACTAGTGAGACTGGATGGTGGAAAGGAAGATGTTTACGTACAGAGTGTGATGGCTGGTTTCCATCATCATATGTTCAGGTTCCCTATTACATTTACTAATTTGTTCCATTCAGGCAATTTGAATTTATTTGTTTTTCATTTAAATGCTAATTTTTGAAAATCTTTTTCATTTTTTTACTTATTTAATTCATTTTATAACATTTAATTGTAAAAATTTTTTTTTACTCTCAGCCATCCTATTTGTCTATAAGCAATTCATTTAAAAATGAAATTGCTGACGATAGAGGAACAGTGTCCGATAGTGAAATTCAAATGATAGATGCAATTACATTAAAAAGAAAATATCAAGTTACCAATGGTTACAATAGTGATAATGGTGACTATAGCAATAAGGTAGTTTTCCGCGATATTTTAAAATTATTGATTTCTTTTTTCTATGAAGTTTGACAAAAATGTTTTTGTTTTTAGATTAACGAGTTAAAGAACGATTGTGGTAATTATTTTTAAAAATTTTATGATTATGCAAATTAAGTTGAAAAATTATATGTTTTAATAATTTAAAAACTTTTTAGCTGATCCATCAAATGCTTTAAAAGACAGGGTATTATTTAAAACTGAACCTCCATCGAAACCAGTTCCACCAAAACCGCGAAAAAGGCATATTCAAGACAAACTGATTAATAATCCAAATATCGAAGAGAGATCACAATCATGTAGCGATGCAGACAAAAAGGATTTTGAAGCTTTTTTCAAACAATCGAATATTGACCATAAAGATAAAAAAACGATTGCTTCAAAAAACGACAATGGTTACCTGTCTCCAATCGATAAACTACGTCCTCGATCATTCCAAGATACACCTCAAAACAATTTTTTTAAACTTTCGAATAGATTTAACAATAATATGAAACCGGCTTGGTCTCTTCCTTCTTTAAATGTAGGTGAACAAGTAAAATTAAGTCCTGACGATGATCGTCCATTTCTTGAACCTATTCCCAGAAAAAATAAGCGATATTCTGTTCCAAATGATTCATTGTATATTTCTCAACTATCGTCGGATGGAAATATAGCTTTATCGACAGAAGTTTTGCATTCTGAAGAATCAAAAGACTCTATTGAATATGAATCTATAGTTAACGAAAATTCTTTTTCTACAAATGTAGATCTTCGAGATTCGTCTCGTGAAGACAATAATTTTTTGTTAAAAAATGATAACACTCTAAAAAAAATTCCACCTCTTTCTAAAAACTATTTAGAAAACGATAAACCAATAGTTTACGAAGTTCTTTCACAAAATATCTCGGATCAAAAAATTGCCGGAAGTTCACCATCTGAGGATGATAATTTTATCCAACGAGTTTATAATAAAGAAATTGATTCTAACAGACACTCACGTTTAAGGACTGGGCATAAGCGGTTCTCTAATTTAAAAAGTGCAATAATAGAGGAATCTGAATGTATATCACCAGATGAAGACACTAAAAAAGAATTTAGTGTTTCTTTAAAAAACAATGAGGCGACATTAAAAAATTTAAATAAACTAAGTACTCAAACTTCGAGTTTAAATTCTGATGGTAAATTTTTAAAAGAACAAGACGATCAAGTTGGTTCAAGTAAATTATTATCGCAAGGTTTAAAGAACTCTTCATCAACGCAAAGTTTATCTTCTATAGCTTCTTCAACTCGATCTAATCCTTCAACTAAGCTCGAACAAATGAATGTTAGACGAGCTATTGCAAATGTAGTCGCTAATTCTGAACATGAACTTACTTTCTCAGTAGGAGCTATATTATATGAACTAAGACCAAGAAATAAAGAAGGTTTATCATATGGCATACTTGAGGACTCCAATCAAGGTTGGTATCCATCGGATGCTGTGGAGCCATATTTTATTTTTTAACAAAACTTTTATCTCTATTTATTCAATTTTTTAATTGTTTCTAGCTTTATAGGACTTTATATGAAAATACGCAAAGTTTTGGTTTGCCGAGAGATGTTTTTTTTTTTTCTTTTTTTTTTTTTATATATATATATATATATACAATCTTCATATTAAAAGTAATAAAAACTTGCGCCACCAGTTTGTTATTTTTTAATTTCTAGATTTCAGCCATTTTTTACACCTTTCCTTATTTCGCTGCGTTGTAAGTATGTCCGAATTACAACAAAAATGTTCTCAGATTCAGAGAAATTAGTAATTTTTTAATTTTTTCTCATTTTGTCTAGATTTAATTAACTTATATTTTAAAGTGTTTCATTAAATATTTTAAACAGATTAGCAGTTACCAAATTTAAAATATTTGCAAATTTTGTTTTAAAATTAAATATAAGATAAAGAAAATGCGCTTTAGAATGTAGCATTATAATACTTAGCAACAAACAAATCATTTGCAAATATGATTTGTGGTCTTCAAACTCATTCAAGTACGCACCCTTGCACCTGGTGTGACGTTAAATCCAATTGTCTTGCTAAATCTGGAAACTTGCGAACACTTGGCTCAATTAATTCAAGCCTTGAGTCTTTTTAGCAATCGGGCGGGGTTGTTGCTAATGTAAAGCTGTTTGGCAATGTCATTCGGAATCTGCGGTCCTGTCAATGTTCTAATTTTGGAAATCATTCCACCGATGGAGTTGCATATCCTCTTAGAAGTTGTCAACCATCTTTTCAAGATCCTTAAAACTGCTTGGGTAGAAGCTGTTAAGTGGTCAGCCGCTCTCCACATTCAACTGAGCCCGTATCACGGGGGCCAGTTTGAGGGAAATAAATGCAGGAAGCTTCTTAAAAATGTGGATATGCTGCAGCAACTTGCTGAGACAAACATGGTTCCCAATATTGTGTGCATAATTGAAGCATTCAAAAGCTTCAATTTAGTTGTTAAGGCTTGCTTTGGATACATCCTTCAGCCGGATTTCGCTGAAAATATTGAAAATTTTAAAAAGTAATACCTAATGATAACTGGTGCAAGCGTAACACCCAAAATGCACGCCGTCTTCTACGACTTCCAGAATTTCATCAGTCACAAAGGATCCCCCTTGGGGCCCTATAGTGAACAAACTGTCGAAACTTCTCCTCAAAATTTTTAATAACATTGGTCGAGCTATAAGCAAAATAATAATCATCCAGAGTACAAAAAAAGATTGTTGCGCTGCATAATTGATCTAAATAGTAAGCAGCCTAATTTCTTATAACTCAAAGAATATTATTTGAGTTATTAGAAATTAGGCTGCTGAAATTCATATTTTACGGCGTATTATGAATATATTCACCATTTTTAAAAGTAGTATTATAGAGTATTTGTATTAAAAAGAGTACATTGAGCTATTTATTAATAATCTTTTAATGGAGAAAATCAAAAAAACATTTCTTAAAACGTAATTAGATATTTGATGGTAATACAATAGGGTTTAAATAGTTTTCCCTTCATTTTAAAAGTAAATATATTTAAGGAGGTTAATACAAAATATTTTAGGAGATCTACTTTTTTTAGTGTTTTATTAACTAGTAGTCCTTTGACTAGGTTTTGAACTGTTTTTTAGCTTTTTTTTTGGCAGCAGTTAATACCTTAGGAAACGTTGGTATATTCAAGCGAAGCATACATGGCCGTCAATTTGATCTATAAAATGAAAACTGTACATGTACCGATAAAATAATTATAACAAAAATTGTTAGTATTACAAAGTAGAACACTCATGTAACCGTTATTTTAAAAATAGTGACCGAACTTCAAAGTAATCGGTAACGCTTTGAGGTATAAGTAGCAAAAAACTGACAAAATTTTAACTAAAACTGCAATAAATCCTACACCAGTCATCCAATCAGGCTGAAATTTTGTCCAGAGTTTGGTGTGACTATTGGCTACATTTGCACAAATTATATTAAGTGTTTCAAATTTTACAAGTCTTTTTATTGGCGCACTATGAAGTCCAAATTTGACTTAATTTAAACATTCAAATTAAATTATTTTCCGCGTAAAAATTAAATGATTTCAAAATTTGCATCACAGGGTACCTTGATGTGTACGCTAACTTTCCGTATAGTTGGCGTTCTTGAGACAGCTAGGTAGGCATTATAAGGGTCCGTGCTAACTGTGACTAAATGATTATAAAGCCTATTCTACATAATGCGTTCTAGCAATTTAAAGAAACAAGGTAATACAGAAATAGGTCTGTAGTTTAAAACATTTGTTTTTTCACCAGACTTAAAAATCGGTATTATTTTGACTATTTTAAGTTTGTCTGGTACAATACTAGATGTTAATGAGAGATTAAAAATGTGAAACAATAAGGGTTCAATAATATCAAAGACTGATTTAACTACATTGACGCTAATAAACGTTTTATATAATTTTTTCAATTTTAAATAAATAGTGCGATCAAAAAAAATACACAATCATATTTATTCATTTTCTTGAACCTATTTTTCAAGCTTCGAAAAAGTTGTGAACCCACGAGATATTAATTAGTTATAATTTGGATGTTTTTCATAAAAGTGTATTCTAAAGATTGATTAAAAAAAAGGCACTTATCTTTGCCTATTACTTCACTAATTTTTCTAGTGTTAGTCATGCTTTTTTGGAAACAAAATGGCGGTTTTTTCTTTACTTTAAAAAATCAGTCAAATTGTATATAGATATAGTTATTATGTTTTTTGAGAAATTGATTTTGTATAATGCAATAAAACTACAAAATATTTAGCAGCACACATAATTGACAGTGAGAAAAAGAAGGATGGGGGCAAGGCCGCTCGGTCCCAAGGTCAACACGATCTATGATTAGTTGTATATTTTACATTTCTCTTTGGCATTGAAATAATATATTATCGATTACTTTTTATTTTATTTTACACTAGTTGTGTTAAGTTATAATGTGTTTATGACTTTTTAAATCAATATCTTTATATTCTAGTTCACCAAGAGATTATTTGCAAATTCCTCGTATGAAAATTTTTGAAATTTTGAAAAATGAGTTATCTTCAGATTTATACCAGCTTGAGGTTTTCCAATCACAGTTGTGTGTAAGAAAATACAATTTGTTTCCAATTTTCAATATATGATAGGAAGAAACCAAAAAAAGTCTTGACAAAATTAAAAATAAAATGGAAAAGTAGTAACCTAAAGTAACATTCTTGAATACACATGACATATGGTTAAAAGCCTCAACAAATATTTGCTTAAGTTATTTAATGCTAATTTCTATTAAAGTTTTAAAGTTTCTTATCTTTATTAAAAATTTAAATATTTTCAGATTGTTCAAGCATAAAATAAAGAAAAAAAAAGGCCAAAGTGCAATGGGTCGACCAACCACTTAAAATTTGATGAAGCAAGTAACATCAATCTTCCATGATAAGAAATAAATAACATCAATATTCTATTATAAGAAGTGATGCAATTGCTTATAATTTTCATTTTTACCATCTTACGACAAACTTAAAGAAGCCAAGAAAATGTGTTATAATTCAGTTACCGTTATATGTTCATATAACGTTTATTTCATATACCGTTATATGAACATATAACGGTAACTGAAATAAACGCCAAAGTAAAACTGCAATCTTTAATAGATCACACTTGTTTACAAATTATAAAAACTCAACAAGATCTTTTCAATTCCTAGAATGTTAATATTTTATCAAACTTCATTCTTATTCTTAAGTGGGAGTTTTATGGCTCTCGCTCCGGTCATAGCGAATATAAACAGAGCTTTGCTGGTTGAAAGAAACTCAGATGCAAATGTTTTTCTGACTTCACTTATGCCATTACAGTCTTTGTGCATAAATTCAGTTTTAGGTCAAGATGTTGTTTTGTGGAAAAAATAGGACACCTTTATCTCCTAGATTTTGCAGACTTATCAAACTGCAATTTCTTTATAAAAATGTTCAGACAAGCTTTAATGAAAAAAACTATATTGAAGACAAAATTAAATCACTAGTTCCGCTCATCATTGTTCAACATAAAACAAAAATAAAAATATATTATAAATTGGTCTTGACAATGATTGACAAAAGTTTGCAATCCAATAACATTTACAAAATCCACAATGCGGTGTTATTTGTGTTCTGCTACTTTGACTCAATAAAATTAATTTTGTTAAAGAAACAAAAGTTGACGAATCCAAATTGGATTATAGTTTATCAACATGCACGCATGGATTCGTTTTTTTGAATGTTTTTTGCATCTTGGGTATAAACTTGGGATAAAAAAAATGGCAAGTACGTTCTGACATTGAAAAAAGTATAATATCAGAACAAAAATTGTTAATCCAAAATGATTTTCAGGCGCAGCTAGGCTTATTAGTTGATCGACCAAAACCAGGATGTGGTAATACAAATAAAGCTCGAGGGTTTATTAAAAAATCAAAAGTGCCTGCTAGTCTTCTAGGATTTGATGTAGAACTATTAACCCGGTTTCACATAATTTTACAGATATTATCTACTTAGTTATAGATAATATCTGTAATTATAGCTTTCCTATAGATGCAGACAAACTCAATAACTATTCTACGGAAACTGTATTATTGTTTGTCGAAAATGATCCTTGGTACAACATGCCTACAACAGTACACAAAGTACTTATTCATGGATCCTTAATTATAAAAACGGATATCTTACCCATAGGACAACTACCTGAGGTTGCACAGGAAGAAACAAAGACTTAAAAAAATCTCGCGAGGATTTCTCCAGGAAAAACTCCAGAAAAAAAACTATGCATGACGTCTTTTGCAGATTCGTGGTTTTGTTAGATCCTGCAATTTCTTCACTTGTAAAATCTCATGCAATCGTCAGCAGAAGTTTGTCTTCTCAAACTTTACAAATGTTATTACCTTGGGAGATTAACGAAAACTCTGAAACTCATATGTATGCGATTCGTTGTTGAATTTATCAACAATATTTCAGCAATTAATGATTCTGATGTTGAATGATAGTAGTGATTTACATTAAAAATAATATAAATTAAACAATTATAATAAATGATGCAAACAAAACTTTTTATT